AAATACCACGTTTCGCTAAAATTTACCGTCGGTTGAAAGATTTGGTTGATACTATTTGGTTGTGTGATACCAAATTATATGATACAAAAGACTATGGGGTTTATGATACCAAATATATGAGCTTGCACGATTACAACAATCCAAACAGAGGTTTAAAAGTTAGACACAGTTGGACTAATGTGACTTTCTGCTGAATGACACATGAGACAGGGTCAACAAAATTACATGTTTTCTAGCTTAATAATCATAAACCAAAAAATATTTTCCTTATTTTATGGACTATAAGACGCATTTTTTTCTTCCTACAAGCGGGTAAGCCATTTGGGTAGGGCAGTGGGGAGGGGCATTCCCCCCACCCCCACCCCCCACCCCCGAATTCGCAGGTTGTATTTAAATTGACATGTACTGTAAGCATGGATACACACAGTGAGGGTAAATCACTGAAGGTGGGGTGGGGGAGGGGTAGCTTAGTATATTTGGGGATACGGTTGATTAAGACATGTGAGCTGGACCATGGAAGACAGTTCTAGAAATGGGAGATAGCTGGTCCTAAGAAAAAGGGGATGGAGTTACATTGTAGCAAGTTATGCTGACTACACTACTGTATATATTTTAAAAAAAAACAGTGACGGTCCATCCTAATTTCATCACGTTTGCATATATAGGAGGAGAAATTAAAACAAACTTTATAAAAAGCATTTTTTTTTAAAGCTCGCCATGAAATTGCACTTTCTCTTCGCCCTTTATTATCCAAGAATCCTTATGACCTAAGATTCCAAAATGTCTACTAAAGAAGTCTGATGGTTGTTGCTAGTTAAGTTAAAGTATCCACTTTTCAAAGCTTTCAAATTTAAAGTTTTCAAACAGAAACCTCGACGCCGCTCATCACAGTTGTTCTGAGAGTACAGTTGTTCTGAGAGTACAGTTGTTCTGAGAGTACAGTTGTTCTGAGAGTGCTGGTTTTACGCTCACCGCTTATCTTATCACACCCTAGCCCAGATTGATTTCATGTTTTTCTTTTTTTTTTCCTACGTCGAATTGGGAAACGATTACAAAATAATTCATACATATGATTCTTTTATCTTCGATCAAACGCTCTTCACATCGATTGATTTATGCAGAACAAATTTATTTATTTTTGTATAAAAACCATATAAAATAGCCGTTTCTGTTCGATCTTCAAGTAACATAAAAGGCTTTCCACAACAAGATCGCTTTTAAAAGAACACTACAAGAGGATTTTGGGGTAATACATTGACAAATATTAATAAATGCTCTAACCAAATTTGTAATCTCTGAACACAGTGTCCATACACTTTACGAATCGGTACAACAAAAACTCTTTATCGTGACACTGACGTCGAAACTTAAATGGAGACATTTCTTATTACAAAAATGTAATAAAGTAAATACGAAACAGAATGATTGCGTGGTCAAATAAAATACACATTTTTCATATCCCAAAGTTCAAAAGATTATTTTTCAGTAACGTTTTGAAGTTAGTAAATGTCAATACCAGTACTTATTTTGTACCGGACAATATTTCAAAATGTAATTTAATTTCCTCGAATCAGGAAATAGATCCAAAATTTAAATTTACAAAAAATATCAAAACTCGAAATCATGTTTTATATTATCTTCGAGGAAATGGAGAAATTTTTTTTTTATTTTTAAAATTCTGGTCACAAATCCATTTCATTGAACTAGTTTTCAGGAAGGGTAACTCATGCATTTTTAGCTAGACAATAAAAATTACTTATTTTCTGCTTACAAATGTAGAATATTTTTTTTTCTTTTATTACTAAATTAGTCTCTATAAAAGTTGTAGATCTTTTTTAAAAACAAAAATAACAACAACAGTGACAGCTCAAGAGATATAATAAATTATTAGAAAATCTTAATTGACCACTTGACATCTCGACCACTTGACATCTAGACTACGTGATATCTATTTGTTCAAGAACTTGCTGTCTATTTGCAGACAGTGAACGTACCCAATAGTGATATTTGAAATGATATATGGACAGTGGCCATGATCAAAGTTGGCCGTTGCATTTACGGGCCAGGTTTACGCCAAGAACATTGCATTCTCCACCCATGGGGACAGGTAAATACTGGTACTAGGCCTTGTGTTGAATAGTTAGCTGTACTAGTGACAGGTTGTGTTGAATGGTTAACTGTACTGGTGTCTGGTTGTGTTGAATGGTTAGTTGTATAAGTGCCTGGTTGTGTTGAACAGTTTGTTGTACTAGGCCTGGTTGTGTTGAATGGTTAGTAGTACTAGTGCCTGGTTGTGTTAAATGCTTAGTTGTATTAGTGCCTGGTTGTGTCCAATAGTTATGACTACTAGGCCTGGTTGTGTTGAATGCTTAGTAGTACTAGTGCCTGGTTGTGTTGAATGCTTAGTTGTATTAGTGCCTGGTTGTGTCGAATAGTTATTACTACTAGGCCTGGTTGTGTTGAATGGTTAGTAGTACTAGTGCCTGGTTGTGTTAAATGCTTAGTTGTATTAGTGCCTGGTTGTGTCGAATAGTTATTACTACTAGGCCTGGTTGTGTTGAATGGTTAGTAGTACTAGTGCCTGGTTGTGTTAAATGCTTAGTTGCATTAGTGCCTGGTTGTGTCGAATAGTTATGACTACTAGTGCCTGGTTGTGTTGAATGCTTAGTAGTACTAGTGCCTGGTTGTGTTAAATGCTTAGTTGTATTAGTGCCTGGTTGTTCCAATAGTTATGACTACTAGGCCTGGTTGTGTTGAATGGTTAGTAGTACTAGTGCCTGGTTGTGTTGAATGCTTATTAGTACTAGTGCCTGGTTGTGTCGAATAGTTATGACCACTAGTGCCTGGTTGTGTTGAATGCTTAGTAGTACTAGTGCCTGGTTGTGTCGAATAGTTATTACTACTAGCCCTGGTTGTGTTGAATGGTTAGGTAGTACTAGTGCCTGGTTGTGTTGAATGCTTAGTAGTACTAGTGCCTGGTTGTATTGAATAGTTATGACTACTAGGCCTGGTTGTGTTGAATGGTTAGGTAGTACTAGGCCTGGTTTGTTGAATGCTTAGGTAGTACTAGGCCTGGTTGTGTTGAATGGTTAATTGTACTAGAGTCTGGTTGTGTTGCGTGCTTTGATGTGTTAGTTTCTTTCTAAGTCTCACGTGAAGAACCAAAAAAAAAAAAAAAAAAAGTTTCATAAAGTTTAGAACTCCTTTTGAATTAAAAAAATATATATATATATTTTTAAAAAGAACAGTGTCGTCGTCTAGCATGGGCCCATAAAAAAAAAAAAAAAAAAAAAAAAAAAGTTTCATAAAGTTTAGAACTCCTTTTGAATTAAAAAAATATATATATATATTTTTAAAAAGAACAGTGTCGTCGTCTAGCATGGGCCCATTTCCCAAGCGATAAGCCATATCGCAAATCTACGTAATAATACAAATGGATACCGCAGTACGAACCTTGATCTTAACATGGGTAATCTTTTCTGTAAAGGTGTCATTAGAAATCAGACCTGACTTGAAACATTGATTCCGAGCATTCACTTCCAAAATTTTGAACAAGGTTATGTTAAAGATCGACCATGTCAAGGGAGTTCTTGTGTACTCACTTAGAGCAACCCGTGTTGGGTCCGTGCATTCGATGGCAGCGTCACGAAATGTTCGCCATCTAAAAATTTGACATATGACACACCAGCATAAGAATGTTCTTGCAAATGACAGTTTAAATCCTTAATATTCGAAAAGAACTTCACGAGAGTTATGGATTGTTGTTTTTGTGTGTGTTTTTGTGGGTTTTTTTTTTGGGGGGGGGGCAGTGGGGGTGGGTGAGACAGCAACATGGGGATTTCTTTATACAATGACCGACATTAAAATTTTTACTGCTTTAATATTTTTATGTTAATCAGAATGTAGCAGTCTGAGATTTTATGAATGTTATCAAAACATGATTTCAGTAAACAGGTAATATATATATATATATTTATATATGTATATAGCCGACGTTGTTACAAAACGGTGAAGGGTTTATTATAACACTGTGATCAATATTAGAAATGAATCGATAATCAGCCGATGATTTAGACTTTCAATTAAACAACCTTTCAAACCAAAGCTTTTCGTGTAAATCCTTGACAAAATCTAATATCGAGCAAGAAGGGGTGGGGTTCAAAATTGGACAAAAAATGCTTACAATTAACTCAATTTAAAAGAATCCCAAATGAGTCAACCCCCCCCCCCACACACACACACACCTTTTTCCCTGAAGGCCACGCAGCTGCACACTTTTCTCCACGCCCTCGCACTATATTATTATTCTAACGTGTAAATCCTTGACAAAATCTAATATCGAGCAAGAAGGGGGGGGGTTCAAAATTGGACAAAAAATGCTTACAATTAACTCAATTTAAAAGAATCCCAAATGAGTCAACCCCCCCCCCCACACACACACACACCTTTTTCCCTGAAGGCCACGCAGCTGCACACTTTTTTCCACGCCCTCGAACTATATTATTATTCTATTGACCCAACAGCTTTTACCCCGCAGACTTATTTCAGCAACTATCTTAGAAAAATAATAGAAAATATTACGCATCAAACGCAGTGTCATCCTATTTCAATTATCTCACCCCACCCTCACACCCCGGCCCCCTTTTTTTAAAAAAAAAAAAAAGGAAATCTGACTTTTGGAGTTTGGGGTTGCAAATTTGAGCAACGCGTCTATGTGCCAAGATTCGGGGGCAATAGGCTGACGGATGTGGGTCAATGAGCCGTCCCAAGATTTTGCCAGGCACGATCAAAAGCGATATTTATATAAATGATTTTAAAAGGAAGAGAACATTTCAAATACATTTTGTGTAGTTTCAAACATATCATTCGTGTGACTTTGTTGTTGTTAACCTTTTTATGTACGATCATTATCACGAAAAAAATTATCGATTGCAATAAAACAAGAAGTAAAAATTTACTATTTTAAGATAATATAAAAAAAGAGAACTTCTCGATTCAATAACTATTCACAGCAACATTTATTTGTTTCATTTATAGCAGAATGATCTGAAGTTATTGGGTGTGAATATTCTTCTATTCGAGGAGAGAGCTTCAAATGCCCTAGCTAGATTATAAAGACATTTTGTTAAAAACACGCGATAGAAACCAGCGAAGATGTAAATGTCGGGAATGAAGTTTTTACAATAACATGATTCTAAGCCATCTCACAAACAGCATGGATGGGATTAAGTGAGGCACAGCGATATGCAGACATTTTCCAGTCCAGGGAGGATTCCAAGAACATACAGTTAAAATCAGTGCCCTGCTTCGGCTGATCCGCGGACCAAGCGGTGAACTCGACGGGTCTCCCGTCGCTTCTGTACACCCAGCTGCCCTCAGTCTGTTCATCGGTGGCCCCAACATAAACAAAACGCACCCCGGTGTAGTTTTTGCTTAAAAAATCCCTGACCACGGTGTATTGTTCCGGTGAGTTGATCTCAACCAGCTTGCCGCTGTACGACTTACACAAATTCTCAGCCTCCTGCACGTTGTTGAACGTGTTTTTGGACAACCAGTAAGTGGCGTTGGCGCTCTCAGATTTGTCGAAAAAAAGCAATGTCCTCACAACATCCAGCCAAAGCTTCATATCACCACTGGTCGACTGCCCGTTCTGTTTCAGAGCTTCGATCTCTCGCGCATTTTGTTCACAGATGGCCAGCACCGAAGAAGCGTTTTCTGAAAGTTGAGCCAACCGACCCGCGTACTCGGTTTTGATCAAATTCAAGTTATCTTCAACCTGCTTCAGGTGCGCGTTCAGCTGACGGATCTTATTCAGCAAGGCGTTGTCGTCGGGGGGCGAATACTTGACGTCGACAGTTGAGTCGATGACCACGTTGTGTCCGACGTTATCGGGCCCCTGAGCTGTACATTTGTAATTTCCAGCCACATCCTCGGTGGGCAGGTCCCAGGTCAGTTCGATGAATGATTCACCGGTCGCGTTGATGGCGCCGGAGGCCTTGACGTTTTCCTGAGTGATCACGTTGACCAGCTGACCCAGGAACACATTTAGTGACGCCAGCTCTTCGTATTCCGAGGAGCCGTTGTTCGCACGGGACACAATCAGAGATACCAGCGCTGAAAGACTTTGACTTCCGTTTTTGAGGTAAGAGCATTTAACGGAGAAGCTGTCAGTCAGGCCGATGTTGATCTCTTTTGGGTTGGCTTCTAAGGTCAGCGAACAATCTGCAGGAACGAATATTAAATTGTATGTTTTAATCAACCTTCCAAAACTCATCAAAATGGCATGATTTTTAAGTTCATATCTGTGCTGGCTTAATTTGACTCCCTAAAGTGTCCGAGACTTTTGTTCATCTCTGTGCTGGCTTAATGTGACTCCCTAAAGTGTCCGAGACTTTTGGTATACTTCTTGCGGTTACTTTTCTTTTAGAAACAAAAAAACTTATTTTTTAAATCGAATTATCTTTAAAAATGTACGATTTACTCTATAAAGTTTATTTTGAAATAAAATTGTACATTGTTTAGATGTAGTTTATTGACATCAAATATTCCGCTCAATTGTTAATGTTACTTGCCTATGCAAATAATATTGAAATAAATTGATAAAGCTAAACACATTTGTGGGTTTTTTTCTGTAATATTTTGGATTTTTTTATTTGAAAGAAGAAGAAACAAATAATTTTATTGACTTTGAGCCTACCTGAAATGTGCCATATCAAATAAAAAAGAAGGATCGAAAAAACTGTTGTAATAGCAGACGATGCCATATTCTGTCAAAACACTGTCACAAGTTAACTGTAAACGTGGAAATCAGAACACCGACGCGTGTTAACCGACATGATTTAAAAAAACAACAAAAAAAAAAGTTAAGAATTTCAAGTCTATGAATTTTGTTATCTTTGAAAATAATCGCTGGAAGATTAGATGTAACAATTTGGATTTAACGACACGAAAGCTTAACTAAGTTTTTAACTGGCAGTACAAAGTAGCGAATCTGGAATCGTGTTGAATTTTTTTTTTCTTTTCCATTCAAGCACCCATCATAGAATGTTTGATAGTTTCAAGAGCTGCGATGTCAAATGAGACTTCTAATGTAGTTCTAAAAGCTTTTCGACTCCATTGACATCGTTGATTTTTTAAGATTTATAAATATAAAGGATGAACATTACTAGGTAGTGGCTTTTGTCTGTTTTGAGGACTTACGGTACTTCTTAAGATAGAAGAAAATAGAAAATAATTGGACTCAAATCGAATGTGAAGGCTAAACCTAATTTCCCGTCGCATTTAAGATATCATATAACTTATATTGAAATTTGTAACGCAAAACTTAAGTTCTGTATAGATGTATCCGTATTTAAATAGTCTCATTAAGAATGAGAATGTTTGATTGAGACACATAAATGGAAAGGTTTTTTGATTGCATAGTACACATTTATTAACTTCACATGGAACAAAATTCTGATGAGTGGAACTATTTTGTAAACTAGAGCACTTCAAACGAGAGATTTGTAAAATATTTTGCCAGCGGAAAAAAATAATATAATAAAAAGAGGCTGGTTCTATGTAATTGAAATGATGGAAAATCCCAACAACAAATTTAGATTTTACAAGCGATTTTTTTATCCTTATCACAGCTGGGAAAGAACGTTGGTTAAAGAACGTCCTTAGACGTATAAATAATTTAATGGAACACGAGATGGCAAGAAAATTCTATAATTAACCGACAAAACGTGTAATTCACCCAGTTCATGAATTATAAATAACTACTTGGTTGTTTAGGTTTGTGGGGGAGGGAGGTTAGTCTCACCAAAAGGTCGAAATGGACTCCATGAAATCAGAAACTGATACACGTTTCTTGCAGGTTGTATACGTGTTGGTGGCGTGTAGAGCAGCAAACAGTGGGCCAAGTTATATTAAATTCCACATTTTCAATACTCCAGCTCTAACAATTTGTAACAGTCCATGGAAACAAGAGGTTCCCCAAAAGATAAGGAAAAAACATATTTTGCAGTGACATTATAAAAAGGTCACATTTCACAATGAGGAACATTCATGATAAATCTGAACAGTGTCGGTTTAAATCTTTTATTAGACGCATTTTTGGAGACTGGCAACACGGGAATCGCATAATGTGGACATCTCTGGTTAAAGGAGAAAGAGATTTGACTTGGAACTACATACCTAATTACACACTGATCTCTAAGCATTGGCGGAAGAATGGGGTGAGGAGGGTGTGGTGCGGTCAGGGTAACACTTTTTTTTTCTTTACATAGAGGGGCGGGATTTTCGGCTCTCTTCAGTTGTTGATATTTTTGTTGTTGTTGTTTTGTTTTTTTTGCTGGAAGGGGCAGCAAAATAGTCAGCCCGTCGCGGGTGGCATTAACCCTAGCTACGTCACTGATTTAAGCGAAATGTTCGTATAAAAACGGAAGTAAATTAAACTAGCTTTCAAAATATTGCAACTACATTGGCGACCTAAAAACATACAAAAAAAGGAATGTTTTAATGTTCCATGTAATTTTCAATAACGCAACTGAACAGGTGTCACGAATCTTTTTTTTTTTACGGCGGACCGAATAAAGGGAAAAACTGACGAGCTCAATCTGTACAATTACAATGGTTGCATTCAAGAACGAACGCACTTGGGAAGGAAGACGAAAAAAACTATGTTTAGTTTTCCATGTTAATCATGGGTGCGTGGTGTGCAGTGCAAAAAAAACAAAGACAACCAACATATTTATTTAATAAAACAAAAGTTAGCCGAAACAGGATAGTTACATCACACCTAGTGCGCACATATTCAAACCTCACAAATTAAGCAGCAAAAAAGGTTAGTGAGAACTGTATAACTGGCGTTTAGCATTCAGAATATCCTCAACATTTAGTTTGGAATTGATGACAGATTTTTTCAAATGTGCATCAATCCCTCTAGTTCGATGTTTTGATTTCACATACTTTATTTTTGAAAATGTTCGCTCACAGCCATAAGCTGTTCTACGGATGCCGCCAACGGATGCCAGCTCTTCCGTTATCTGAAAGTCCAAGTTGACACCACAAATACACACGAGACGTTGTGAGTGATCAGTAGACTCAATCAGTGCCAGGGAATACCACAGAAAGTTCACGTATCTGTTGCACCGTGTTCTCTCCGAATTCTTCTGTTCTCCGCACAACTAAACTTGCAGATTGTATTGTAAACATCGGTCATCTACTTTTAGTAGTTACCTTTCTTTAAAGCCACCTTAAATGTATCTCACAAGGCACTGCAGTGCGAGTAGTTATTGTGTTCATTTTACATACTGTATGCTTATTTATTTACTATTAAGATAACGTATATTACGATTTTGAGACGATATTGTAGAATTTTAGGAATTCGATGGTAAACAGATCTGTAATAAACAAGAAAATCTAGATACAATTATTTAAAATTGAAAATGGTAAATTAGGGCGCAAACAGCCAGGAGGTCTCCGCACGTGTGAAGATCTCCTAGTAATTTGGTGACCCCCCCTGGACTAGAACAAAGCTCTTAAATACGTAACACCCTTTAAAGCTAACTGAAAGACTATGGATGCTTAAAATATATTCGTGGTGTTGGTATTATAATTTGGCTGTGTAGATGACAGTCATAGAGTCATTGAGTCGTAGAGCATAGTTTACGTGTATTTTATATTATAATTTTTCAAAAATGTGTCTTAAAATAAAAATATTTTAAGTTTATTTTTTGTGTGTTTTATTTTAAACTTAGCAACATGCTTTTATTGTAAGGCATCTAGCTATTTTTTTTAAATTAAAGATTGTATCTATAAATAGCCTACTAGTTTGTTGGGTTTTTTTTGGTAATCACATTTTATTTTTTCTTAAATATCGTTAATTGCAGCCGTGTCAGATGTCTTCTTAATGTTAATTAAATTTTAGGAGCACTGATGAATCTAGCGTGGTGTCCCTCACAGCATATTTTTCTAAGGTAAAGAGGTTTTTCGTGAACATTCGTTCAGTTTCAGTAGTTTCAGATTAGGCGAGAAAGCTTTTTATATGAAAATGAAACCATTGAGATACCGTATCAGGAAGAGCAAATAAAGTGGCAGAAAATGAAGTCATCATTAAAAGTAAGTGTATTTGTTTCAGAGACAGAGAAAGGCATAGAGAGAGAGATAGAGAGGAAGAAGGGGGAGAGAAGGAGGATATAGGAAGACGGGGAGAGAGAGAAAAAAAGAGAGGGAGAGAGATAGGGAGAGAGACTAGGAATTGAGAAAGGGATAGAGGGAGACCGAGATGGATAGAGGGAGAAAGAAAGTAAGGGAGAGAGGGATAGAGATAGTGAGAAGGGGAGAGGGATAGAGAGAGAGAGAAAAATGGAGAAGGGGAAAAGTTGAGATAGAGAGTCGGAGAGTGAGAGTCAGATAGAGTGAGAGATAGGGAGAGTGAGAGAGGGAGAGATAGAACGAGAGAGGAAGAGAGATAGAAGAGAGAAAGGGAGAGAGATAGAAGAGAGAAAGGGAGAGAGGTAGAAGAGAGAGAGATAGACAGAAGAGTGCGAGAAAGAGTGTGTGCGCCTGAAAGAGGGAGAGATAAAGAGAGAGTTAGAGATAGATAGACACATAGAGGGAGAAACAAGATGACGTGGCAATGGACGCAGCGAGGTTAAAATATTTATATTCCTATTTCGACCAAACTGTCCATTGTCCATTACAACCGCTTTACTACCTAGATGCCATGAATGTTTCTTCAACTGTCTTATGCGCTGTAAATTGCTTAAGATACGCATTAAATCTAATCAGGCTTATATGTCATCTCTGCTTCCCAAACCATTTCAGTCTATGGATTTACCATGAGCTTTTGAGATATTTTTAGACAGATACGGAGTTATCGTTTTTATTGTGTTTATTTATTTTTTATTTTTTTTTAATGTGACTTCACATTAATTTAGTCCTTTCCCGTAGATTTAGGAAAACAAATTTTTTTTTTAATGTAAAGATTTAAATGTGGCTTACAAATTAACGTCTTGATCTTTTATGTTTGTTTTTATTATTTCTTTAAAAAAAAGAGAAATGGTCAACATGGAAAAAACTCAGGACAGTTCACAGAGTGCATAGATGGGGGTGAGTGATGTACACCGATATGCGGACATCCTCCACCCAAGACTCTCTTCCATAAACATACAATTGTAGTCCGGACCCGGCCTCGGCTGGTTGATGGCCCAGTCGGTGAACTGGACCGGCGTCCCGTCGCTTCGATACACCCATTGATTCTCAGCACGTTCGTCCGTGGCGCCGACGTAGACGTAATAGATCTCCGTGTCGAGTCTGTTGAGGAACTCCCTCACCGCTGCGTATTCTCCATCGGAGTTGATCTCAACCAGATACCCTTTGTACAGTTTACACAAATTCTCAGCGTCCCGGACGTCGGTGTAGCTATTTTTCGACAGCCAATAGGTGGCGTTGGGTCCGTTGAATTCACGAGAAAAAACCGACGATCTGAAAGCTTCTAACAAGAGCTTCATGTTGGCACTGCTGGAGTTGGCGTTCGCTTGTTTCAACGTGTTGATGTCTTGGGCGGTCTGGTCATTCAGCGCAAGAACGTGGGTGTCGTTTTTAGAAACTTGGACCAGCTGACCCGCAAAATCGGTTTTCATCAAATTGATCGTTGCTTCGACCTGCTTCAGATGCGAGTCCAGCTGTTGGATCTGGCTCAGTAAGTCTTTGTTACCCGGTGCGGAGGACTTGACGTCGACGGTTGATTCGATGACCACGCTGTGTCCCACGTGATCGGGTCCTTGGGCGGTGCACTTATAACTTCCGGCGACGTCTTCGGCGGGCGAATCCCAGGTCAGGGCGATGAAGGATTCCCCGGTTGAGTTGATGGCACCGGACGCTTTGACGTTTTCCTGAGTTATCAGGTTCACTTGCTGGCCCAAGAACACGTTCAGTGACGCAAACTCTTCATAGTCTGAGGACCCGTTGTTTGCACGGGACAGGAATAGGGATACGAGAGCTGACGGGCTGCTGGTGCTGGTGTCGTTTTTGACGTAGTTACATTTGACGGTTAGTTTGGTCGTAAGACCTGGGTTAAAGATTTCAGGGTTCGCAGATACAGAGAGCGTTGATTCTGGTGGAAACAAAATTACTTAATTCTTCACTTAATTTAGGATGAGAAGGTGTATTAGTATTAGTAACCAGCGAAAAGATTTCATTAATTTTTTTAATTATTTTAAATTGAAACTAATTAATATTTGCTACCCATTTATTGGTATATATATAAATATATATATATATATATATATATAAATTTATATTTATGACTGATCTTACATGTTCAAGTCCCAATCACCGAACATATAAAAGATTATGATTGCAAAAAATAAGCAATTTTCAAAATGCATTTGAATAATTTTTTTTAGCGGTCAAAAAAATTTTTTTTTTCTTTTACCTGAGTAGTGAAAGACAGCTGCTAACATTACCAGATGACCCATGGCTTTTGGGTACAAATGATCCATCTCTAATTGGAAAAGCTGTTCCGTAGATTATGTTTGTGTTCTGGGAATTACAAGAACTAAACAAAAAGGCGACGATTGACTAAGATCAAGTGTATTACCCTGGTTTTACAGTGGATACAATGATGGGAGAGATAAGATAACAACATGGATGTTACGTTTGAAATCAGTTTTAATAAGGGCCAAGGTTTAGCATTACACCTGAGTCTAGAATAAATTAAACTTCTACAGAACTCCATCTTTTTTTTTACATATATTTTTTTTTAAATTTACGTTTCATTTAAGAACAATTTAAAAATAATCCATTATGCTATTTAAGCTTCAAAAAATGTGCCATGTTTCTGTACGTTTAACTGTCTTGTACAGAAGAAAATTTGCAAATGTTTCATTGACTTAAAGATCATCTACATTTATGAAAGTGGCGTCTATGACTGACAGAATTAAAAACACATAAAGCCTATATTATGAAGCTGTTTTCACATTGCCTATGGTTTTTATGTGATGCCTAATAAAGAAATTTATTCATGTAAATAAATAAAGCACCCCCCCCCACCCCACACTTTTTAAACATTTTTGACCAACTCTACAATATACACAACGTTATCTCAATTTTGATGAACTCACATTTGAAAGATTTGGTGTCAAACTTACCGGTGAACAAACAACAACAACAACAAAAAATTCATGAGAGTTATTATGTTTGGATATGATGATCTCTGAATCTCAGCTCATAGATTTCAACTCCGTAGTTAACTGGAAAGGTGTTTGTTTTTTGGAAATGTGTGTTTAATAAGGCCAGTAAATTCTATTGTAAATACTTTTTCCTGAGAAAACTGCAAGCTTCCAGTGATTGCTTTGAAACCGGTGATCCTCCTTGAGTCATTGAGGAGAACTCTCCAACACTTGTACAGACTCGGTTTGTTGACACATTTCAGCTTTCGGAAAGGCCATTAAACGGTTTCAACTCTTAATTTGCCTACCCACTAAAATGGCTCCAAAACCTCATTTCTGACAAGTTATCCAAAGCTTGACCACAACACAGCCTTATAACTGATTGGTTTGGATAGTGTACGCTTGACAACAACACAGCCTTATAACTGATTGGTTTGGATAATGTAAATAAATGGATTGACACCAGTTTCTAACTATTACATTACTGTTTTCTTTGGTCGTTTCAGCCCTTTTAGAGTTATGAAAGTAGCATATTTGTAATTAGAATTGTATAGGTATTTTTCTTTAAATTTTTAAATGATGAATCTTAGTGTAATGGCTGTCATGTTACTTTTGATGTTAGATGCTTTGGTAATTGAAATCAAATAATTTGTAAATTTTAATGTCTAAAAAATAATCCTCATCATCAGTGGTGCTAAAGCCCGTATAGGGCCCTGGCCTGCTGGAACATACCCTGCCATTGGGATGGATCCATCGCTTTCCACCTTTCTGCGTGACCCCTCCCCCATGTGTAAGTCTTTCACTGCATTATCAATCCATCTCAGTCGTTGTCCACTGGTGAGCTGTCTGTCCCCGGGTTTCTGCCTGTAGATCACTTTTGCTGCTTTACAATCTCCTCCTTTTAAATGTGTCCTGTCATCTTAACGATAAATAAATAAATACAAACTTTCCTTTGGGTAATTTTCAATGATTTTAATTGACATCCCATTAAAACAAAAACAGAATAGTCACAGCAAAATATATTGCTAATGCGCTAGAGCTGATTATTTGCCAATTAACTGATGTAATCTTTTACTGCAAGGTAATACGTGCAACATTTTTACGACTTTTCAGACATAAAAAGGGGGAAATAGATGTACATAATTAAACAGTCTTTATGAGATTAGGTCCATTTAAAAAAAAATATTTTTTGCAGAATTATAGACAAAATTTGTGTGTGTTCAATAGTGGTAGTCTTTAAAACCATTCACATGAGGCTCCTATTTTTTTCACCTTCACAAAACATTGCCTTTGTCTTCACATTCTATGACATACATTTATTTAACAGTGGCACATAGTTTTTAAAAGAGAATAATTCATAACATATTATTTCTCTTGTATCAGAATTAAAGACGAGAAAATCCTCGGATTAATCTTATTGCTCCAGCCCCACTAGCTGAAATGGCTCCAGTCACAGCACCACCAGCTGCCATGGCCCTTGGCCCGACAGATTCTCCAATTAATCTTATTGCACCAGCTGTCTTAGCACCACCAGCTGCAATGGCCCCAGTCACAGCACCACTGGCTGCCATGCCCCCAGGCCCGACAGATCCTCGAATTAGACTTATTGCACCAGCTGTCACAGCACCACTGGCTGCAATGGCTCCAGTCCCAACAGTACCTAGTGCACCAGCAGACTAGGCCGCCGAGAGTGCAGCCATACCAACACCCCCGTGGGTGTAGACGAATGACATGATTGACGCAGCCGTTGAACCGGCTGCTATATCACCTGAAAAACAACAACATGCGTACATCATTTATTTAATCATGAACAAGCTAAGTAAATGTCTATATCATTTATTTCTTCATAAAAGAGCTAAATAACAATGTATAAATTATTTATATATTCTTAAAGACGCTGAAACAATTTATTAAAAGTTCATTTATTCATAAATCAACTGCAATCAATTTATTCTTATGCAAATTATTAATAGTTTGTTCCTTGTTTCTTAGTTAATTTGTAAATCCATGCATGATGTTAAATTTATTATACCTACATACAAAGTTTTATCATTTATATAAGCTTTAATATGGAAGAAATTAAATAGTGTAATAATTTTTTTTTTTTTTTTATAAAATGTAAAATACGTGGATTCCATTTTTATAGAAAAGGTAGTTTGAATTAGCTTTCAAATATAGGTTGATTAGGAGTTAAATCAAATATATAACTACCATCCCTTATTTTAAAAGAGTATCAGATGATGCTGGAAGTATAGAGCATGATGTTAAATTTATTATACCTACATACAAAGTTTTATCATTTATATAAGCTTTAATATGGAAGAAATTAAATAGTGTAATAATTTTTTTTTTTTTATAAAATGTAAAATACGTGGATTCCATTTTTATAGAAAAGGTAGTTTGAATTAGCTTTCAAATATAGGTGGAGTAGGAGTTAAATCAAATATATAACTACCATCCCTTATGTTAAAAGAGTATCAGGTGATGCTGGAAGTATAGAATAGGAGGGTAAATCATCACACTGATTTAGATAGAGATAATCTTTCTTTTATTAATTCAAATCCATTGAATTTTTAAAAAATTACATTATAAATAACCATTTTCAGTCTTTAAAAAAATATATTAAAACACTGCAAGTCAGCAAGTAGATCCTTTGTCTGAAAATCAGGACAATGCAGGACAATGCAGGACAATGTTAACAAAGCCATTTTAAAGTAACACTTCCTTCACTTAAAAACAGCTATCATTTGTCCTCACACTTGTCTATGATCATCATTGCTACTTTGGCAATATTATTTGGCTTTTCAAAAAGATGACTTTAATTTTAAACCAACTTAAATTATTCAACATTTTTACTTACACCTTGTATAATTTTAAATTATTTACCCTCATAAAACCTGAGTGGTGTAAATCAGTGGTTCCCAAATGTTTAAGTTTAGCAGACCGGTGAACAAGTTTTGAAATTCTACCAGGGACTGGTGCATTATTTATTTTTATACTTTTATTTCTATTTGACAATAAATATTTATGTCATGGGGACCGGCGGCGTTAGGCATGCGGACCGGTGAAGGTCCACGGACCGCCATTTGAGGACCACTGGTGTAAATGATATCCTAGAACTTATACTGCTAATACGCAAACTAAAGGGGAAAAAAATCCACTAAAGATATTTGATTGACAGGTCACATTAACCAAATGTTTCATAAATTATCATTCGAACAGCTTCTTTAAAGGAATCTGGGACATTAGGAAAGGGGGAGACAAACTCCTAACTTCATTGTGACAATGACTGTACTCTATGATGTCCTTGTGACAATGAATGTAATCATATATTATGATGTCCTTGTGACAAAGACTCTAATCTTATATATGATGTCCTTGTGACAATGACTGTAATCTGAGATATCATGTCCTGGGGCCATGCTGTGAGGCAAGAGATCCCTGTCATTGTCTCATGTAGCCATGAATAAGCATGGTGTCTAGATTCAAATAAGCATATTGTATGTTAACATATTTCCATCCATCCCTGTGGCGCTATAGCCCATGTAGGGCTTTGGCCTGCCTCACTACTTCCTTCCACTCAGCCCTAACCAATGCATTACTTTTCCATGCTTGGATCCCCAGTTGTTGTAGATCTTTGTTGCATGTTGTATGTTATCATATTTGCAATGTTTAAAATCTAATGAATAATCATTGTGATATTCCTTTTTTCTTAGGTCTAGTGCAAATCAAAGAACCCTTTATTTTTAAAAAAAACAACAACACAAAAATCCTTATTCTGACCTGATGTGAATCCTATCATTGGCAGGATTACTGGACCCATGAGGGCGGCACCACCGGCCACGAGAGCGCCAGCTCCGATCTCAGTGTACAAGGCATTCGAAGTCCATGGCAACATGTTCTGCTTAACAACTACAAGAGAGCTCTCAGAGCTGGCCATGTCTGCGTTAGTCCTGGGGGAGATAACAATGAATCCCGACTTGTCAGGTACGCCTGATAGACCTATTCACAGAGATTTAAAAAAAAGGGCTGCGTGGCAGTGGGAAGGAATAGACAAAATTAGAACATATTCACACAAAACCTCAAATTATTTTATTCAAATTAATATCATAGCTTTTTTTTTATAAAGGGGGCACAATAAATATAAACTTTCGATTGAGCCTTTATAATTGATTTATCTCCCTTGAAATTTTTTTCCCTTTTAGAAATTGTTCCATATTAAAACATCTCATACATTTTTTAAATTTAGTTTAAAATAATTTCTTTAAAACATAGAATATTTTTTGTTTCTATTCAAATGGGCTGGCTGGTAAAAATTGCGAATAACAAACTAGACTGCATGTGAAAAAATTGAATTTTATTTTTTATAATAATAAGCTTCATAGTTTTTACAATATTGACTGAAAATAATATTTTGATACACAATTTATGAAAGGCACTGATCAAGTATGCTCCTTCATACAGTTGCTGTGAATTATTAAACAAAATACAGGTCAAAGTTCATGGTGACCAGCCTCGGAAGAGACTGGCAAGCTTGTGTGTATGTGTTGCTTTGTGTGAAGGTTAAAAATAGACCTGAGGTATATCGCATTACTGACTATTTCAGCGAGATGTTTGAATTGTTCTTGCAAGTAGGCCAATGGCTTACTAATCAGCAAGGACAAGGGGCGTTAATGACCGGACCCTATATCTACTGGTACTGTAGCCTTTTCTACTTGGGACTCTTTCTACTACAGTCTTTGCCGACTATGGCTTATTTCCACTGGGGCATAAGCTATACCTGCTTGGGTCCACATTCACTAGGGTCTTTTCTATTGATGGCTTTATTGACTGAGGCATTGCATGAGATTTCAATAAATTTTAAATTCCTATAATAATAAGAATCAAATGCATATTTGTTCTCTTGATGAGGACGGTAAGTTATTTGGAGAGCAGGGTTATACCTACTTCTCTAATACCTTCTTCTCTTATGATCAGCTCAGACATCTATATATAATAGCCACACGATAGATGAGATCGGCTCGGTCATCCATACAAAATAGCCACACCATAGATGAGATCGGCTCAGTTATCTATACATAATAGCCACACCATAGATGAGATCAGATCAGTCATCCATACATAATAGCCACACCATAAATGAGATTGGCTCAGTCATCCATACATAATAGCCACACGATAGATGAGATCGGCTCAGTCATCCATACAAAATAACCACACTATAGATGAGATCGGGTCAGTCATCCATACATAATAGCCAGACTATAGATGAGATCGGGTCAGTCATCCATACATAATAGCCACACTATAGATGAGATAGGTTCAGACAACCATAGATAATAGCCACACGATAGATGAGATCTGCTAACTGTGTATAATGCCAAAGGAAATGTATGTCACTTACATATTGAACTGACTTGGACACTGACCCATTGATGTGACAATGACACTACCCAATTGAACTGAAAATGACACCTACCCTTTGAACTGACAATGTCACCAACCCATTAAACTGACAATGACACTGACCCTTTGAACTGACAATGACACTGACCAATTGAACTGACATTGACACTAACCCACTGAACTAACAATGACATTAAACCGTTGAACTGATAATGATAATAACCCATTCAACTGACAATGACAATAACCCATTCAACTGACAATGACAATAACCCATTGAACTGACACTGCCCCTTTGAATTGTCTATTTAACAAACCAATGGAACAGAAAATGACAATGACCCATTGAACTGTAACACTGACCTACTGAATTAACAATTAGACTGACCCATTGAAATGTATATGACACTGACCTATTGAACTGTGTATCACACTGACCTATTGAACTGTGTATCACACTGACATATTGAACTGTCAAATCTAGTGCATATCAATACAAGAGACAAACTTTAAAAAATCAAATAAGGTGAAGGAGATGGTGTTCCTAATATGTGTTAAGGAAAGGGTGTTCCCTCAATTTTGTATCCATACTAGCAAGTTTTAAATGAAACAAAACTGTTTAAGACTTTTTACAAAAGACTTTCTTCCGAAAAAAAAGTTTAAAATTTAAACGCAAAAAAAAAAAAAAGAATTAAATGAAATAACTCAGATTAAACCGTAATTGAATATTTGACAAGAAATACACTTATGAAGGAAATTTTGTTTCCATACTAGAAAGTTTTAAATGAAAAAAAACTGTTTAAGACTTTTTACAAAAGACTTTCTTCCGAAAAAAAAGTTTAAAATTTAAACGCAAAAAAAAAAAAAAAAAAAGAATTAAATGAAATAACTCAGATTAAGCCGTAATTGAATATTTGACAAGACATACACTTATGAAGGATATGACGGTTTTAGCAACACATTTGGTAATTGTGAAAGCATTCAACAACGCGTTTGATATCGTACAATTGCTTTTTTTTTTTATTGATATTTATTTTACTCATTTAAAAAAAAAATTAAACTAATTGAATCACTAAAGTTCAAGTGTTTTATGGGACTGAAATTTTAGATTTTAATTTGTTCTGATCATGGGTAAATTTGATTTAAATGTCAATAATTTGAGTATTTAAGCGAGTTATATTTGAATAAACAAATACAAGAATAATACATGTTTCGTTTTGTTTTGAAAAAGTATGCTGACTTTTATTAATGAACCGGAAGAACACATCGTGTTTGCAAATAACAGTAACAGTTGCATTGACTTGGTGATGAAGTAGACATGCCACAAAATATCTAGCGACTGATACATTTCCAAAGTAAAATGATATCACTAAATAATACAAGCACAATTAAAGCATTTGGGATGTGGAAATGTTGGATACTTTTAAAATCAACTTGTCTCAAAATCTTCAAAATGGCACATGTCTGGGTTTTCCGCTGAGGTCTTCGGCCATTAACCAAACGAAGGTTCTGTTGCTGATATATATATAATAAAGCAAAAAGTGTTCTTATTTTTTATATTAAAAAAATACTTTTATACATAAATGTAAGAACTTTTTATGTACATATATTAGTTTACATCCTGCCTATACCCAAAAAAAAAAAAGAAAGTAGAAAAAAGAATAAAATGGGGACAATTCCCTTAACGAAAAGAAAGATAAAAAAAATCGGAGTTTTATGATGAAAGAGTAAAGCTTACCAATAAAAAAACAACTAAACAATGAAAAATCTTTCTTTTTTTTTTTAAAAACAATTTCAATAATTTGTGATTATACGCCTCGGGTCTTAACGATTTTAATACTTGAATTTTAAAAAACAAATACAAGTCTTTGGCTTTTCATTTTTAAAAGTTAAGGACGAATATTTTTATCTTATTTTAAACTGCTTGCGGTGAATGCATGAGATGAACAATTATGTAAGCGTAACTGATAAAACTTTTCTTAGCTTAGTAAACTTAGTTATTGTAATATTTAATTCACATGATTAAGGTACAACATAATGCCAAATAAAAAACAACGACTTCATAAATGGGTTTCGTGACCCGCTTAATGTCCGTCCAGAAGATCCATCATTTTATGAGTTGGACTGCGGCGGTCAGGGCGTAACCCAGCGCACCAGTGACGGCGACCTTGGCGGCACCCACTGTCCCCAGAGCCCCAGCCGACTGGGCGGCCGACAGAACAGCCATCCCGACACCTTTAGTGTACACGAAGGACATGAACGACGCGGCTGCCGACCCAGCTGTGATGCCGGCTGAAAAGCAGAAGTGGACACACCGAGTTTAGGAATACAAATACAATAATTATAACCCAACAATTTGATCAAAGCACAAACAAGCTAAATTGTAAGGGGGTCAATTGTGTATGCTTCACATGAGATTTCTTTCAACAGCATGTCAAGTACGGCATTGTCAAATTTCTCTTTGTTTGATAAACGAATTTTGGAAATTTAAAAAAAAAAATTATTTCAAATTCAAGAAACAAAACTCAACCATATTATCTTAACGACCAACATGTTTTGCGTATGAGCTTATTATAAATCTAGATGGGATTAACTTATGGTAATGTTAAACCAGGCAAACTGATGTTTTTTGCTTGTAACTCCCTGATTGTAATAGGCGTGTCAATCTAAAATATTTAAACGCGGATAAGTAAAACTCCAACCATGTCGATGTACTTAATGTACTGGTTTTGAAATAATCTTTTTTTTTTTACTCTGGGGGAATGGGGTGGGGCGTGTGTGTGTGTGTGTGTGTGTGTGTGTGTATGTGTGTGTGTGTGTGACGGGTGGGGGTTTGTGTTTTCCATAGTTCTGATGATTCCAACTGACCTGTGGTGAAACCAAACAACGGAAGAATCACTGGACCAGTGATGAAGGCCGCTGTGGCACAAGCCGCCCCAACACCGAGTGGTATCAGTTGAGTCATTCTGGCACACGACGGGCGAGGAAGTACAGTGTTGAGCGATTATTTTGTAGGCGCCTTGCAGTTGTTGGTGAGCCTGATTGATAGATTTGACACAACGATAAGCTGCAGCTCGCCTGATTGATAGATTTGATACAACGATAAGCTGCAGCTCGCCTGATTGATAGATTTGATACAACGATAAGCTGCAGCTCGCCTGATTGATAGATTTGATACAACGATAAGCTGCAGCTCGCCATGATTGATAGATTTGATACAACGATAAGCTGCAGCTCGCCTGATTGATAGATTTGATACAACGATAAGCTGCAGCTCGCCTGATTGATAGATTTGATACAACGATAAGCTGCAGCTCTTAACTAAACTATAAACACTATATTTTAAAAAATGCGTATGGATTTCCGGCTTCATCAATGAACATCATCGTTCTTCATCAATGAACATCATCGTTCTTCATCAACCCTGCTCATCGAAACTAGTAATATCTACACATTTGTCCTTCTTATCTGAAATACTACACGATCGTTTAGGTCAGTGGTTCTCAACCTTCCTATTGTCGCGACCCTTTATTACAGTTCCTCATGTTGCGGCGACCCCCAACCAAAATATTATTTTCGTTGCTACTTCACAACTGTAGAGTATACGTGTTTTCCGATGGTCTTCAGCGACCCCTTGGAAAGGGTCGTGCGACGCCCAAAGGGGTCGCGACCCACAGGTTGTGAACCGCTGGTTTAGGTTACTATTAAATCGAGTTGTCACCCCTTCCCCCCTCCCCCCCTTCCCCCAAAACCCTTAACATAACCTCTCTTTCAATTATAAAAGAAAGGCTCCTCGAGTGGCTTCCATCGCTCTGCTGCCGAGTGTCGTATAGTGTCTAATTATTAAAGTATCTAATTCCGCTATTTATTTAATCAAACCAATCGCATGCGGTGCTGTCATGTGGAAAAATCAAACGTTTTTTTCATTTGGAACATTTGTTATGGTATGTGGGGACAAACTAAAAACCCGAGTCATTCCAACATGAAAGACATTCTCTAATCTTAGTTCCCAGAAAGACGGGTGAAATTATTGTAGCTTTCATTTTAAAGAGAAAAGCAGTTACGGTATAATAATTATTAGTCGACCTAAATCCTGGATGAAATAGTGAAACAAGACATGTTGAAGTTGACGATTGCATCAAAAGACAGGACAGCAATGTGTGAACGTTACCGCTTAGAGCAGCGGTTTTCAACCTGTGGGTCGCGACCCCTTTGGCCCTTACACAGGGGTCGCCCAAGACCATCGGAAAATACAAATTTATGAAGTAGCAACGAAAATTATGTCATGGCTGTGGGGGGTCACCACAACATCAGGAACTGTATTAAAGGGTCGCGGCGTTAGGAAGGTTGGGAACCACGGGCTTGGAGCCTTCTTCGGCGAACAAGACAAATAGAAGTAAGACAAGAAACAGAGCACAGTAAACAAAAACAAAAACCTTAAGAGATCTCCTTTATTGTTGCTGGAAAAAGGACTAGCTATAAAATGAAGTAGTGGAACAAGGTTTGTGGAAGAATGAAATATAAAGACAGGACTATAATTTAACAACATGTTGGTCCTATAAATCCTTTATATGCCTTTTTGTCAGCATATATGTAATTGCAAGTGATTTAATATTTGTTTTAAGGAGCAGTTATGCAAATGGGAAAACTTCTGGCTGAAACACTTTTCATTTTCCCTTCATTTCCCCCTTCAAAAATACATTCCCAAATAGGTGACTAATCACAAAGCACATAGCAACAGTAACACAATTTATCTTCACACCAGAAACATGCACCAATTGAAAAAATTATTAAAATTACTAGCCCTTTGAAAAAATAGAAAAACTTATTTTGAAAGGGACATGGGGGGGAGGGGGGGGTCTGAAAAGTTTGAGAGAATATGTTGTTACCGGCAAAATATCTATGTGCCTGGTTTCTGCTCGGTAGGACAACAGGAAGTGGGTCAATTAGCTTCCGAATATTTTGCCCCATAGAAACGTACGAACAAAAGCGAAGTTCATGAAAACAAAGCATCTAAAAATAGTAGGGTCACTGAGCCCTGCTAAGTCTGGCCACCTGCACCCAAACAACGAGGGAAGTGAGTGACTAGGTTAGATGCTTGAACCCGAGACAGATTGAAACGGGAAGATCAAATAAATGGGAAATCAGCTACAACAACAAAAACGTAGATGAAATCTCATCAATGTACATAATCATAAAGGCTTCTTAACTAGGGGTGCCTGCACCCCATGGAGGTTCGATTGACAGTGCAAAGGGGTGGGGGGTGTGGAACACCCCGAATGTCAGGTTCATTTTTATTTTATTTAATTTTTACACTTGGGTCTTAGCCAAAAGGCTAAATGTCAGGTTAATTTGCAGTTTTATGAATACTTTTCATCATGGTGGTGCCAAAACTATGTCTAGAAATTGAATGGTATGCGCGAACAGTTTTAAATTGATGGTTATTGAACGTCAATATAAGTGATACAAAATGATCGATTAGTCTCCAAAAATAAAAATAGAAAAAGATTTTCAAAATCAATAAAACTAAAAACTTAAAATCAATGTTGAAAATATTTACCTTTGCTTTCGAAGGAGCAACCCCAGTCGAAACAAAAAGAACATTGGCGTCTATTTATAATTATTGGGATGTTGATAAGGAGTGAACTCTCTTTGATTTCGTGGAAACTTGAAGCATGTGTTTCAGTTTCAGAAATACGTCACAGTCAAGGACGTGTTTGGAATGGGTTCAAAAATGTGCGCGTGATGTTGAGATACCGTCACAGCATCCAGGAATAGAAAGAGATAGAGAGAGAGAGAGTGAGAAAGTGACGTAGTGTTTGAGAGAGAGTAATAGAGAGAAAAAAAGGTGACAACGTGAATGAGGGAGAGGTAGTGAAATATCGATTGAGAGAGACACAGAGAACGTTTTATGGTGATTTTGTGTGAGAGAGAAGGGGAGAGAGAAGGGGAGAGAGAGAAGGGAAGAGAGAGAAGGGGAGAGAGAAGGGGAGAGAGAGAAGGGGAGAGAGAGAAGGGGAGAGAGAGAAAGGGAGAGAGAGAAGGGGAGAGAGAGAGAAGGGGAGAGAGAAGAAGAAGAGGAGAGAGAGAGAAAGTGAGTATTACTGAAAATAAGTGTTCTCCCTCTCCCTCAGACCTCTCTCTAGTTACACTATAATTTCATAATTTCTCCCTATGCCCTCTCTCCCTTTTCTAAATATAGTTCTAGCAATTTAGCTGCTACATTTTGGTTCCTTGCTGTCATGATTTGCTAACTAGGAAAATCAATATAGGGGGTGACTATGCCTAAATACATGTATGCAAAAAAGAATACAATTTTATGTCGAATATTTAAACACATTTTTTATTAAGTTCATAGTTACAAATTTTTTTTAAAAACAACGTGAAAAACACAATATTCTCTGTGACAGAATTTAATTCAGACTAAACAGTTAAACGTAAATTTAAGACGTCAAGACGCTGGCTGTTACACATTGAACAAAGGGTTTTTAAATTATTTTTTTTATATTTTAGCTGAGGGACTTCACCAAAGTAGCAGGAAGGTGGCTTTAGAAATAGCGCCAGCAACGTGTCCTCTTGATGGCCAGCCACGTAAAAATGGTATGACATAATGTGTAACTTGATAACGTGACCTTGTCGGAACTAATGGCACAGCCAACCAGCTAACTTTACGCCGCTTCCTAACAATTGACGTCGTCATCAGCCCTACCTATATTACAATCATTCACATTATAAGCACCCACATTACTATCATTCACATTATAATCACCCATACTACAATCATTCATATTGAAATCACCCACATTACAATCATTAAAATTATAATCACCCACATTATAACTCACATTATAATAACCTTAATTGTAATTATCCGTCTTATAATTTACATTTTTTTAAATAACCTATACTAAAACCAACCAACTTTTGATAAGTTATTTCATAATCCCGATCATTAATCATTCGTGACAGTTTCACAGTATGACTGGCTGGCGGTTATTGTTGTCGTGTGTATTGATTGAAGCTTGTGACCTGCTTGTCCTGTGTGTTGTTATGGTGTATGACTGGACGTGTCCAGTTGTTTTTATGAATGTATAAACTTAAATGCGCGAATGGTGTAAGGAGAATTGTCGTGAGCGGTCATATGATGTGGGGTTTAAAAAATGTAGAATGGTGAACAAAGGCTTGTTGTTACACAGACCACAGACTTGAGTTGATATTTTATTATACTATTACGTCACCCACCTTATAATCGCAAGCGTTCCCCCCCCCTCCCCCGTATTGAAGCACCAGCATTATAATAATTTGGCAATCTGTCCAGTGGCGTTGCTAGGGTCGGTGTCACCCCGTGCGGTAATCTCATGGTGTCACCCCCCTTCCCCCACCCCCGACATCCACGATGGATTTCTTCTTGTTAAAGTAAGTCCACAGAATAACAATGACAAGAATAAAACTTATTTGAGAAAGAGAGGTTCACTAGACACTTACATTTGTTGTTTCTGTGGCCACACGCAGAGGACCGAACCCCTAGACAGACGACTATTCGCCACAAAGTAATATCCAAGATATTCTGTGATACACACCGACAAAGAAACGACCAAACATATACACACAGGTACAAACACTCATATGCAAACGCACCCACAAACACTCACAGAGAGACAATAAAAGAGAACTCACCATAGCAGATGATGCTTGATGTACGATAGACTCTGTGTCATGTACATTAAACACTTAAATAAATTGACATATTTTCTTGAAATGTCACATTGGTTTGCCACAGCAAAGGCAATATTCAATTTCGAAAAATATAAAACAAACCAAATACGGTATTTATTGTTTATTTATATAGTTGACAATAGCTTAAATCTCAAAAAACAAATTTTTTAATTATAATAAATAAATGCCCATTTTGCATGTTCACTTTTCACCATGGTTTGAGAATACATTTATATCTGTAGCAATAATTTTGTCAGTCCCCCCCCTCCCAAAGCCCACCGCAAAAAAAAAAAAAAATTAAAAATTAAAAAATCATTATACTTTCATATTTGTCATTTTGCTTGCCCACGCACTTGTACAAGAAAGGAAACCTGTTGAAATTAAAATAAATAAATTCCCATTTTTCATGTTTACTTTTCACCATGGTTTGAGAATACATTTATATCTGTAGCAATAATTTTGTCAGTCCCCCCCCTCCCAAAGCCCACCGCAAAAAAAAAAAAAATTAAAAATTAAAAAATCATTATACTTTCATATTTGTCATTTTGCTTGCCCACGCACTTGTACAAGAAAGGAAACCTGTTGAAATTAAAATGTTCAACTCATACATAGATTTAAAAAGGGGTAATAATAAGGGGAGAGACTGCAATCAGGTTAGTACAAAATAAAATGAGTAAAACAGAGTAGGGTTAAACCTGAAAAAAATAAACGCAACAAAACAGCGAACGTGTCGGCAGAAAGCCTTCGTCAGATTTACGTGACGTTAAAAACATAAGTCAGATAAAACAGTATCTTACCGCTGGTAAAACCCAAGGCGACAAGGGTAAAAGGAAACGCCACAGTGGTAACCAAGGCCCCGAGAATAGATCCTATGACAGCGTACAGGTATGTCCATACAAGGTTAGTGATTTGCTCTAATACCCAGCCCAGTGAAAGCCACAGCCATGATGACACAGAGGAAATGGATTGCTCGGTGATCCTACCCAATGCAGGAGGAATCCAAGAGAATAAAAGGCAAAATGTTATCTTTAAGATCCAAGAGACAATTCCCAACACCATTGTGTCAGTTTTAGAGCTGCTGAGAATATAAAAAAAAATATAAGTTATAAAGTGAATTGAATTGTTGTAATTGGGAGACAACTTTATGGTTACTTAAATACACTACTTCAACATTTCTCACCAATTTCTCTTATTGAGCCCATCCCAAAAGTACTTGATCAATTCAAAACGCAAGAGGTGTATTTTAGCGCATACATTATAGTTTTTCAGAATACTACACTTAATAGAATGGAACTTAATGGTGTCCATTCATTTTACTTTTTAATAACAATCCTTCATATTTGGTTTTTACTACTAGCAATTAGGTCATAGCTACTGTCCCCCCCCCCCCTTTTCACCTTATCTTTTTGAAATGGGTCTGAATAAAAAAGGATTGATAGAATTTAACTAATGTTTTGTTTAAAGTTCAAAGATTAACTGTGACTTAATTTGTGTATTTTTCTTTTTAATAACAATCCTTCATTTTTGGTTTTTACTTCTAGCAATTAGGTCATAGCTACTTTCCCCCCCCCCCCCTTTTCACCTTATCTTTTTGAAATGGGTCTGAATAAAAAAGGATTGATAGAATTTAACTAATGTTTTGTTTAAAGTTCAAAGATTAACTGTGACTTAATTTGTGTGTCCAATAACTGCTTGTTTCCCCCCTATGATTTGACGCCTCACGATCAATTTATTGATCATCCTGGCTTCTAGTTTGAATTCTGAGTTTGCCTTCTCTTAGATGAGTTGCCGTCCAAGGCTAGCAAGTCCCATCCACCCGTGGTGCTGGGGATGTTTGTGCTTTGGTGGCAATTGAGCTCCAGACCATCAGCTGTTTGGATGGAGTCCTTTTAGACCGCTCGGCCACCCAGCAGCCCGGGTGCTTTAACCCAAAATGACGCTGGCAATACACATAAATAGAGCCAACCGGGCGCGTTTTTCTTTTTAATGTCTACTTCGGCGCCTCCCTGTTATTATCATCCAGGGCTGCCCCAATACATACGCGAAGTTTCTAGATTATTCTAGAAGGTTCGATTTTTTTCTAATCCCATTTAAGGATTAGACTCCAAAAGAATGTATTTAATAATTTCTTTTATGTTTCTATATTTTGTAACGAGTTTTCCCAAATATTATGAAATGAGATTTAAGGATAATTATTAAATTTTCTAGAAAGTTACAAATCTGTTGACACTTATTATAGCTTAAGCTATATGCATAAATGAAGTTGAAGGCTTAGATAACAGTATATTCTTCTACGTGTATTTACGGATCTTGGCAAAAGTGATTAAAATGGCTTGTCATAATTCCACCAAGGAAGGGGGTACCACCAGCGAACGGGGGTCCAACCAGGGAACGGGTACCCACCAGGGAATGGAGGTGCCACCAGGGAATGGAGGTCCCACCAGGGAACGGGTACCCACCAGGGAATGGGAGTCCCACCAGGGTACGGGTACCCACCAGGGAATGGGGTCCCACCAGGGAATGGGGTCCCAACAGGGAATGGGGTCCCATCAGGGAACGGGTACCCACCAAGGGATGGGGGTCCCACCAGGGAACGGGTACCCATCAGGGAATGGGGATACCACCAGGGAACGGGTACCCACCAGGGAATGCGGTCACACCAGGGAACGGGTGTCCCACCAGGGTACGGGTACACAACAGGGAATGGGGTCCCACCAAGGATGCGGGATCGCACATGGGAACGGGATCAAATCGGGTAGCGGTTGACATCTAAAACGCTTTGACTTAAAAGCTGCAGAGCACCGACCGCCGTCTCATCCTTTTAATACATGTTACATTGAATGACACGTTCGATCAACAAAATAAACGTAGTGAAAACTACGCTCTGAAAAAAAAAAAAACAACGCAATTATAATTTTTAAAAAAAATAACTACAACATTTTCCCTGAAAATGTGTTTCAAGAAACACCTAATGATAAAAGAACTGTTCATAAGATGAACAATAGCATTATATTATTTTTTTTAAAAAACAGCGAACGATCGTTAAACATAAAAAAAAAATTAAGTATAAAATCTACTTATTGAAATAAATTAGCAGTATATTTCATGTATAGGAAATTATAGATAAAGTAACACGTGTACTTTAGTTATTTATATTTTCGACTTCTGTTAAAAAAAGCATTACAATGTATGTTTCAACGAGGATAAATATAGGTATCAACAAGCCATATAAGGCATAAGGTATCCACTAGGCGTAATAATGTATCAACAAGGCATAATCAGATAACAACGAGGCATCACAAGATAATTTTAGATATCAACTAACCTTTACACGGTGTTGTACGCTAAAAATAACTGATGCAAAATGATCCATTAGTCTCCACATATTTTTTTTTCAAAATCAATAAAACTAAAAACATAAAATCAATGATTAAACATATTTACCGTAAGCTACAAATGCACAACACAGTCAAAACAAAGAGAAAAATAGCCTCTGTTCGTAAAAACTGCAAAGCTGATATGGGAGTGACTCGCCTTGATTTCATGGAAACCTAAAGTTGTGTTTCAGTTTCAGAAATCCATTACGGGCCAAATTACGGGCAGGTACATGATTGGCACGAGTTGCAAAATCTAAGCTTGATGTGAAGATAATGGCAATGCAAGCCAGTAACTGAACAAGAGAAAATAGAGAGAAAGAGATAGGGAGAGTGGGAGATAGATTGTGACAAAGTGAAAATATGATTGAAATAGAGATAGCAATTGAGAAATGGAGAAATAGTTACATGGAGATTAAGAGAGAGAGAGAGAGAGAGAGACTGATATGTTGGTTGAGAGAGGGAGAAACTGAAAAATGAATGAAAATGAGATAGTGTTCCATGATTGACAGAGATAGTAACATAAAAGAGGCAGTGAAATAGTTATTGAGAGAAAGTGAGAGATAGAGAGAGAGAGAGAGCGAGAAAATGACAGTGATTGAAATAAAGATACAGAAAGAGAAGGTGGTATAGTGATTGGGTGAGAAAGAGAGAGAGAGAGAGAGAGAGAGAGAGGGGACAAAGTGTTTGAGAAAAGAGAGAGTTGATAGAGAAAGAGAGAGAGAGAGAAGGGGAGAGAAATAGGTGTATAGTAATTGAGAGAGAGAAAAACTATAGATAGATAGATAGATAGATAGATAGATAGATAGATAGATAGATAGATAGATAGATAGATAGATAGATAGATAGATAGATAGATAGATAGATAGATAGATGGATGGATGGATGGATGGATGGATGGATGGATG